GCCAATCATAATGCACTGGATAGCTGGCCAATCACAGCACACCTCGCTTTTCAGACCGATGAGCTTTGTAAAAATCGACGCATTTCAGAAAGGCGGGGCATAGAGGAGAAACAATAATGTACAGTATGTGGAAAATAATGTGTTTTTTTAACCTTAAACCGCATAAACACATTTCATTACACCAAATAATGTTCTTTTTAGCAGCATCATATGACCCCTTTAACAACCAGGTGTGCTGGCTCCTTGTGTTACTGTGTAACCCAGGAGTTTAAAACTTACTGCCCAAAAATAAGCAAATAAAAAATTAGCAGTGAATTTAATGCACAAAATGGAAGAAAAAACTTAAAAAAACTGTATAAATATGAGCTGCAAATTAAATGCCCTAAAAAGAGCACAAACGGAGTGACAAATATAGTCCACAAACTACACAAACTATTTAAATTGTTGGTTGCTTGGGTGGAAGTAAAATAATTTAATAAGTCATCCAATTTTACATTGAATAACTTTTCAGATACCATGAACTTTTCTTTGACTGATACAGACAGTGCACAAAATGAAGTCTGAAATAGACAGTTTAATGTAAAAACAAAAAGTAGCTGAAAACTGCATACCTTATGAAAAAAGTATAAAAAAAGGAGAATCAGATTTAGAATTTACCTTCAGACCAAGGTAATTAGATATTTATTTTCAGTTTATGTTTCCAGTTTAGTTTTTTTTTTAGTTAGTTGACACTTCATAATTGTCCTTATCAGGGCCTCTAGAGATTACTGACCCAGACCTTTCCAAGTCATAATCCGCTCATTGTAACGGAGGTGGTCAAAATTTTATCTTTTTCATGTATTTTTAGTATTTTTGCCAGTACAGTTTTGACTTAAAAGTTGGCTTACTGTCCAAATCACAGATTGAGAGTGTAATGTTATTTTTGTAGTTACTTTTGTACATCTATAGTTTAATAATTGATAAGTTAATAGTGAGAAACTTAAATTTCAGAAACAATATTGCCGGTTGTTTTGCCTATTTTTGCTGTGGTAACTAGTTTTAAAATACAGCAGAATCAGCTGTTGTGTTTCTGAACAACACACATTAGTGGTGTTACTGAATAAATAATTTGTTTTTAAATTAATTTGTTGAGTGAATAATTCAGTGACTCATAAAGGCAATTGCTGTGTCCCACACTGAATCCTGGGATTTTTTTTTATCTGTTGTTTTTATACATACTGCAAATTCTGACATACTGCTAATTTCACACGGCCTACTGCTTCTCACATGCTATATAGTGGAGAGGCATATTCAGACATCTGGGAAGCTCATGTTTTGAATGAATCGGTTGTGTAAATGAATTAATTTATACATAGTCATTTGTCGCCACATATTGGCTTAATGATGTAACCTCGAGGAGTTTCTGACAAATCCAGTCCAGTAATAACAGACTGATAGTCTGTCTGAATATGCAAACACAGACAAATGAAAAGTCCCAGTGCTGTTAGATTGTTACTATATCAGCACTTTTGAAATGCTTCTTATGTAAACATACAAACTACATTCTAAAAACCTGAACATTCTAAAATGCTGGTTTGAGCCTGTTAGGTAATTTTTTCAGGGTTAGTTTTTTCCATGGTTGGGTATTTTTGATGGGTCAATCTCACTGACAGTTGAAACAGCCCTCCCCACTCTCCAGCTGCAGTCAGAGCATGCGATTTTTGCAGTGTTGCCAAATTATTAGTGAATTTGTTGCTAAATTTAGTGACTTTTCTGTACCCTCTCAGCGACTTTACTGATTCATTAGCAGCTTGGAAGTGACTGCTGATTAATATGTATAGTCTTAATGGTCAGGTTTCAGTCAATACTTCATATTTGTTCCTTTGTCTAACAACAGAAACAGAAAAATATCTAAATGATAACAACTTTATTTCAGCTCTATTAAGATACAGTATATGAGCACAGATGGATGAAAAGGGCTGATTTAGTCAGAATGCAAATGTGACACAATGACTTTATAAATATGCTTATTATCTAGCGACACTTAGTGAATTTAGTGGGCCACGCAGGCTTTAAATACTTTCCACTGAAACTAGTGGTTTTCTGCATCCTCATCAGAGACAGCAGTTCTCAGTGCACGGATTTGTGTTTTTCTTTTTTTATTGAATTAAGGGTTTGTATGTTTTATTTAATCTACAGGGTCTTTATGTGCTATAAATCATTTTATTTTACTCAGCATAACATATAGGGACGAAACATCTTTAGGCTATCATAAACTCCATAAATAGCACACTAGTGTTTTCGTTAATGCATCTCTTTCTGACAGAGACAGATCTAGATTCAGTGGTAACAGAGATCAATGTATTAAAGAAAATACAGAAGTGATCAGATAGTGCTACGTCCTTAATAACAATGGATGAAATGTTTAGACCTCTACTGATGATTAAATCTAGAGTATGTGATGTCTATCATGCATGTCTATATTGAATTAAGGGTTTGTATGTTTTATTTAATCTACAGGGTCTTTATGTGCTATAAATCATTTTATTTTACTCAGCATAACATATAGGGACGAAACATCTTTAGGCTATCATAAATGCAGGACAGAGGTCTACATCAGCGAACAGCAACACATTGGCAATAGTTCAAATATAATACTGTATACATGAATAAAAACGGTATAAATCATTCTGTATTTAGAACTGTATTCATCCAAAATAAAAGCTGTATCATGTAACCACTGTGGTTGTATAGTGTATTTTACACACTTTTACAAGATTTAAGTTAGTCTGGAAATATTAACCCACGTATGAGCTAAAAATAATAGTATTGCTGTTCGTTTGAAATTTGGTTATTTTTAAACCCCATTGTTTTTATAGTGTAGATTGGAGAGGTCATGTTAACAATATCAGTTGTCAGCTTTTATATATCAATTGCAATTTCACCTATGTTAATTTCCAGTTTTTTTAATATTGTTGGGAATTAACCATTTGCCTAATGTTTATCAAACGGAGGGCTTTTGGCATTTACAAATGTAACACAGTGAAGAATTAATGTGCTATTATGAGATACTGTCTTTGGCTGTTGAGGTTTCCATCCAAAAGTCTGTCCATTATAGTATTTTCTGGGAGAGTTGTGTTTTAGTTAAAAGTTTTCACATTAATCAGTATTAAAATTGTATTAACACAAATTACAGTAAAAAAAAAGACTGAGCTTTTATTATGCCACAGTCGACTGTTTCCGCTCCTACCGGTCGTGCCTATGTGGGGTAAAGCAGCGGAGCTTTTATTATGCCACAGTCGAGCGCTTCCGCTCCTTCTGGTCGTGCGTATGTGGGGTAAAGCAGCGCTGTTTTATCATACTAGATACGTTTGAACGTTCTGTTATAATGCTACTCTGTGCGGTCGTCACCGGTCTATTAAAACGCACAACATATTAAAGCGTCTTTGGTGTTTCCATGTTTTCTACAAAACAAAACCGAAATCGATAATGTAAGTACACAAGTCAGCAAAATATATAACACTGTTCTAGTGGTTTTTGGATATTTTAATTGAAAAAATCTTACATATTGTGCCTTTAAATACAAATTTCTTGGTCGGAAATTTGACATGAAGTGGAATTTACGACTTTGATTCCGGATTTCAGAGTTGGGCGGCCAGAAACTGTAAACAAGAACTAAAAGAGAACATTTTTAGTGACAGTTAAAGCTAGGGTGGGCGGTTTCTGCGCTACTAGCGCCATCTAGCGGAACTACTAAAATAAAGCAACAACCTGCGCAAACGCTCCATTGGCGCCTCACGCTTCCCCCAACTCAAACTCAATCATCACAAACTCTCTCAGGTAAAAGTAGGCTACATTTTTAATAAAAGGTGCAAGGAATACTTTTAATTTGATGTTTAGCTTACCTATCGAGAAGAAACTCCACAAGTTCGTCGTATCGATTAAAACACAAACATTGCATTAAATTCCTCCATCTTGTAAAACACTGTTTACACTTGTTTTACCCCTTTGTCTGTGTCTATATTTTGGCAACTTTTTGAATTTTATTTGCACTTCTGTAAAGGAATCCCAGTTTCTTTCTCCACACCGGCTAAACAACATCCTTTGGCTCAGCCTGCTACTGAAGCCACGCCCCAAACTCTCGCTATTGGCTGCACGGAGGACTTTCGCAGAAGATATGTATTTATATATATATTTCATATTTATATTTAGTAATTGATTGCTATCAGCACGCGAAGAGACTTTAAACCAGTATTTAAAAATGTTTCTGGAAAAAAGGCTTAAGTTTCGTATTTGTGTATATTTCCTTGCATTTAGTGCGAGGAATGCTTAGGCTATATGGTTCTCAAAGAATGGAGACGCAATATTTTTAGAAATGAGTTAGATATTGACTAAATATTGTATATACATTTTAGCTTTAAAAAAAAGATTGCTCCAGGAAATAAGAAATGCATCTACTACTTCTTTTTTCTCAGATAAAGCACTTAACGCGACAAGCTTTTAATTACGACTTTAGAAGTGGGAAATATGAAACTTCACATGAAGCATAATGTGAGGGCTACTACGTTCCTGCGCGCCCAGTGTAAGCGAGTGTGACGTCACAGAGGTCCATGACGTCACAATGCTACGTTCCACAGCCGGGAGTTCGGCGTCAGGCCGCTATCTCGCGCTAGTAGTGTGATCGCCTTTCAGTTCAGTGAGAATCCGAGCAGAAGCAAAGATTATCATACATACATACATTTCTTGTGTGAAACCTTACATGTAAAATAAATTATAATGACAATATTTATGTGTGCATTTTGATTATATTTTTAATTCCTTTCTGTGAAGTAGTTTTGTTGTGGCATTTAATGTTTTTTTTTTATGTAAAGAAAGTCAATGTAATAACCAGATTTTTTTTTTTTTGTTAAAGAAAAAACAGCAAAACACAAGACGAATAGCCTTTGTGCATTCTTCAAAAAGACATGGCTTGCTATGAAAAGTGCCAACCAGTGTCGACGTCGAGGCAACAAAGTGGTCCCTCATCATCCTGTGTCCGACACAGATCCAGCTGATCCTCCAGAAGATCCTCAGTCTGGTTCATCTGACCCTGATCGAGATCCAGATGCTTCAAAGATGACACCTGTCGTAGGACCATCTGGCCTTGTGCCAGCGGGTCTGCAGGATCCAGCTGATCCTCTTCCAGGCCCGTCTGCTCTTGATCCAGTAGCCCCAAAATTTCCAGGTGCTTCCAAGCATAGACAAATCGCAGATCAAACCCGTTTCAGAGCAGCCTGTTTCACTGATCCAACTCCTGGTGAGTCTATGTCCACTTAACCTTTTCTTGTTCCTCCACTGATTGTTTCACATCTGTGTCTAGTTGCCCTATAGTCTGTGTGTTTATGCATGCATGTCTAATTCCTCATACGGTATTCCAAACGTTAATGATAAATCTAGTACTTTTGACCAATTAGTACTTTCCTGATTGCTTATTTAAAGAAATATTGTTGTAAAAAAACCTGGTTATCTTGCTTTCACTTTGCTTTCACTTAGCTTCACACATTGACCATATTTTAGTCTCCATGTATCTGATGTGTGTATATTTATTCAAGCACTACTATTGCACTTCATCTAAGACTGTGAATCTCATATATTAACATACTCCTTTGGTATATTTTTGCAGTTCCATTTGATGAGATTTATGAAGTGGGAAGAAAGATTGGAGAAGGAGGCTTTGGCACTGTGTATGAGGGGATTTCGAAATTTCTACGCGAGCAGGTAGAATTACCACTTTATTCACCAAATGTACAGATCATGCTTTGACCAAAATGTCTTTCAAATCAGTTTAAAAGGAAATATTTGTGATCATGACAATATGCAATCATTAATATGAAATTCTATATTCAATACAATCCGTTTACCTATCCGTAACATCTAATGCACTTACAAAATTTGTACTTTTCTTGTATTACTAATACTACAATTTTTTGTTTTTACAGGTTGCTATTAAAATCATCCCTAAGAGGGACAGAGAACGCTTTATTGTAATTGTAAGTTGTCAAACCCTAATGTAAATAGTAAATACTTAAATACAAGTAATATATTTTAAATAGAAGTGAAATGTGATATTGGACTCTTAATTACTGAACTCTCTTTTCTGTAGCCTGGCTGTTCAGAGCCGCTGTTTGCAGAAGTGGCTCTAAACCTGCTGCTGAAACGACCTCCATTAAGCCCCTACATTGTGCACATGCTGGAATGGTTTGAAGAGGAGGATCGGTTCATCCTGATCCTGGAGTATCCACAACCCTGCAAGGACTTGCTCAAATTCATGGTTAACAACATGCAGCTACTGGATGAATCACAGACGCGTAGGCTGATGCACCAAGCGGTGCTCGGGGCCAAGCACTGTCTTGACCGAGGCGTCTTCCACCGGGACATTAAGTTGAATAACTTTCTGATCAACACAAAGACTAACCAAGTCAAACTGATAGACTTAGGCTGCGGTGACCTCGTCAAAACTTCAGGCTACTTAGGTTTTACAGGTGAGTTGGCATTTTGTGTTACTGTTGCAATCAGTCCAAAGGAGATCTCAGTCTTCTGTGTAGTGATGCTGGTGACTTTTGTAGGAAAAATGTTTGTTTAACCTGGATATCTCTTGCTTTCATGAACAGGAGGGGTCTGCCCACCTGAATACTACAAGGACTTAAAATACGAGGCAGGGCCAACAACCGTCTGGTCTCTGGGCGTAATGATGTACTCAATGATTTACAAACGTCAGCCCTTTAGAAGTCTAAAAGACATGATGCATGGCAGTCTGAGGTTTAAGCACAAAATATCCACAGGTGAGAGAGAACAATTAACTAGCAATAACACAATGTCAATGATATTGTTAAACAAATAAAGCACCAGAACAATTCTTTACATAATACATGCAACATATTTATATGTACATATAATTTATATGCTCATGTGTCATATGGACATAAATAACTTACTGTACGTGACTAACCAATGCTTTTGTGAAAACTTGTACAGAATTGCAAGATTTGATATGCCGCTGCATGACTCTTGACCCAACCGAGAGAGCAACTGTAGAGGAGATCCTACAGCATGAATGGTTTCAGCAGGGACAAATGTCAGGAGGAGCTCGGGATCAGGTAGTGTAACTTAGGAGGGAAGGCAGATGATGACAGAATTTCCTCTTGTGAAAGTCCAAGAAGTGCTGTCATGAGCTTCAACTTTCCTTTATATTATTTTTTTCGGCAGATGCTCCAAATCGGCCCCAGTGAGGAAAATCTGCACAAACCATTCAGCAGAGGGTCTTCAGAGCGGCAAGTTTAGTTTAAAAAAAAAAATTGGTGAATAAACAACAAATGACTAAAGGCAGCTGTACACGGTGCGATTTTTGCTGACGTACGAGCTCGCAGACGATTTTTTCTCTCGGGAGAAAATTAATTCGTGGCGTATGTGTGGTTGAACGAGACGATTTGGCGATCCATCTGAAGTTGACCAATCAGATTTAATTTAATTTTAGTTTAATTATCCAGCTCTATTTTGTATTTGTTATTCCGAACTGTGCCAAATTTGCCATTCAGGTTTATGAATGAATATGTCTGTTGTATTTTCAGCAAAACGAGTCAAACAGAAATTCTGAAATAGCCTACTCACCTACTCAAGTTGTTTATGAAGGACAGAAAGTCCATGCTTTTCTCTGCTTTTCAGCCATTTTCTTTGCCATGTCCTTTGTTTTCTTTTCTTTTTTGGGACGTCACAAGCCATAGCTGCTGCAAAGAAAACTATTTTGTCCTCAGACTCCATATTTTTATGAATGGCGCGAAACGTAATGCTTACGTCAGAGTTGTAAAATCGTTGTAAATTCGTGTCGTGTGTGACTGCCTCCGTACGATTTTCGGATAAACTCAATCATGACATGTGCGAGGGCTCACGACGTTCCGACCTTCAGAATCGCACCGTGTACGCCCGCCTTAAGGTAGAGCAAAAGTAGTGAAAGAGTGAACCCATGTAGTATCTAATGCACAAAAATAGGATAAAACCTTGTTGCACAAAAAAAAAAAGTAACTTGTAAAAATTAAACACAAACTTAATGCACAAAACAGGGGAAACTTGGTATAAATCAGAGCAGCAAATCTAGTGCCCAAAAACGTGCAAACTCTGAGAAACAAATTACGAAGATAGTATCCATCTATGGTATCTAATGAACAAAAATAGAATAAAACTTTGCTGCACAAAAAGCAGCACATAAAAAAAAAAATTACTGTAAAAAAATTAGAAATACATTTAATTGCACAAAGCTGAGGACAAACTTAATATAAATAGGAGCAACAAATTTAACACCCAAAAAAGAGCAAAAAAAAAAAATGTAGTTCAGAAAACAAAGGAGAAAACTAAAGTAACCTTATGCTGCGAGACCACAAAGATGATTCCCTTCAGTTCCGCAAACTGCTCTTCATAAATATATTTATTTACTGGGTGGGTGGAGTGAAAATAAATTATTTAATTATTCAATTTTACATGGAACTCTTTCTTTTGACTCACACACACACACACACACACACACACACCGAGTTGATACCGGTGCATAAGGTAAACTGTGACTCACAGCCAGAGTTGCCAGCTTTGGTCACTTGACTAGAGTGAGATTTTGATGAGATGGGCTGAATCAATCACACACCAATATTTAGGGTTTTGAGGATCCAGCAATTACATTTTAATTTCATCTTAATACTACAATTTACTACATTATGTATACTACTTTTATACTAGAGGCAGTTTTATAGAGGCATCTGTCCTTAATGAGATTCTACATCTGGTAAAGAAACTTAATTTTTAATGAATAAAATTCCTTATTCCTATTTTATTTAATGAATAAAATTCCTCCATCAAAATGTATATTCTAAATTATTGCGCTAATTTCTCTTTTAAACTCAGCGTTTCAGTATCCCATTACAATTACTTAAAAAACAAGAATTTATTGCGTAAATTTTGAAGTATTCTAAACTATTGCATTCTTTTCCCTGTTGAACTCTGTTTCACACGAGTCTTTGGCAGACTGTGTGGCGATTTTTATGCAAGTTTCATGCGCTTTTCTGAGACGTGTTTTCTGCACTGTAAGTGACATTGCTAACAGCGATTCCTCTTGCCACAGTGCACATATTCAACTAAACGACAATGAAATTATCACACGCCAGAGTGGCCTGTGAAACTGGGAAATCCACCTGCCATATTCACCCACATTTAGAGCTTGACAGGTGTTAATTTTCCATACTGGTTTGAAAGCACAAACACTTGTCCAATTACTCAGTCCTACACAAACTACGAATACATATTCGATCATGTATAACTAAAAAAAGCCTACCGGGCCAATGAAAGTAGTCATGGGGTGAAGTGACATGCATTTTTGGAGTTTTGTTTTTGAGATCTGTTGTATAAAAAGAACAGTGTGAATATTGTGTTTTGGAACAACATTTTTAATAACATTCCAAACCTGTATAACTCAAAATATCTACTGTTTGTGTTCGACAGAAGAAAAAGTCATTCAGGTTTGAAACAACATGTGGGTGAGTAAATGACAGAATTTCCCTTTTTGAGTGAAGATTCACTTAAAGTCTCTTGTGAATCCATATTATTAGAGCAGCCTCTAATTCTGTGTTTTCCTCCAATCTTGTGATGTCCACCGTTGACCAGACGATCTCTGCACAGCCCTGGTTGTCTTCCACTTCGTCCAAAATCATGTGGTATGTTATATATAACAATCAATGTCAATGTGCAGCGACATCTATTCAATGCTAAAAATAGAAAATACAGTGCAATTATTTTCTTAACCAGTATTGTTTTTGGTACAACATTTAAACATCCTAAAAGTGTGCAAGAAATAAATGTTGTTCCACTCTCATGCACTGTTCCAGCCATTTCAATTTTTTATTCTTTTTGATTGAAATCGTTAAAGGGATACTCCACCCCAAAATAAAAATGTTGTCATTAATCACTTACCCCCATGTCGTTCCAAACCCCTAAAAGCTCCATTCGTCTTCGGAACACAATTTAAGATATTTTGGATGAAAATCGGGAGGCTTGTGACCACATTATATTTTCTGCAGCTGTTTTCCGCACCTTTGTATTTTCCTGTCTTGTGGAGGTTCTTCTGATGGTCAGGAGTGACAGATGCATCTGCCTCATAGGCTGCAGTCAGTTTCTCCTCTGTGTGTGTCATGCGGTAGGTCTTCTTTGCTGCCTTCATCTGCAACTCGACATGCCACACTTAACCACAATACAGCAACTGAACTGATGAAGCTTAGAGAAAGATTAGTTAAACTGGACTAAAATTGTGAAAAATGTTAATATACAGTAAGAATTCATTCTGAAAACATTACAAACACTTATTTTTAACTATTATTAAAATAATTTTTTTTTTAAATAGGGTAAAAGTGTAAAATTCTGTCAATTCTGATTACATTTTGAAAATTTCTTTAACAGACTTTAACAAAAGAAAAAAAAACACTGGCCCCACAGTTTTCCCCCACAGTCATTATTGTTATTTAGTCTGTCCAAGAAGTCACAAAATTATTATTATTTTTTTTTAGAAAAGTCACTAAAGGAGTCTGAAAAGTCGCTGAGTTGGCAACATTGACTGTAACAACATCATGCACTTAAGACCAAGGTAATTAGTGCTTTAAATGTTCTTTTAAATTTTTTTTTTTCATGTTTATGTTCAATTTACAATTTCAGGGTTTTGTTGTTGTTGTTTTGTAATTAACATTATTAAGGCCCTTATTGGCCTAAGATTATTGACCCAGGTCTTTGCGAGCTATAATTCGCCCATGGTACAATTGCTGGTTTTATCACACAAGCTGTACTGCTAAATTATAGGAATGGCACAGGGCAAATGCGTTATTTTGAGTTTAATTAGTCTGGAATTCTGTAAGATTGACAAAATGATTTTAACTTAAATGTTGGTTTACTGTCCAAATGGCTGCATCACTTGAACTGAATTACCCATTATGCAAATTGAAATTAGTTAACAATACATTTGAACTGTATTAACAATATTTAAAGGAAAAGTTCACCCAAAAATGAAAAGTCTGTCATTAATTACTCACCCTCATGTCGTTCCAAACCCGTAAGAACTTCGTTCATCTTCAGAACACAAATTAAGATATTTTTTATGAAATCCCGAGAGCTTTCTGACCCTCTCATAGACAGCAACGCAACTAAAATGTTCCCAGGCCCAGAAACATAGTAAAGATATTGTTAAAGCAGTCCACGTGACATCAGTGGTTCAACCGTAATTTTACGAAGCTGCGAGAAAACTTTTTGTGCGCAAAGAAAACAAAAATAATGACTGATTATTTTTGGCGGAATACGTAATTCGGGGAAGAATTGTTCAATAAAGTCGTTATTTTTGTTTTCTTTGCGCACAAAAGGTATTCTCACAGATTCGTAAAATTACGGTTGAACCAATAATGTCACATGGACTGTTTTACCGATGTCCTTAAAAACTCTGTTTTCTTCAACAATATCTTAATTTGAGTGAACTATCCCTTTAAATCTCTTAACAGAGCCTAATATTTTAAAATAAATACAGATGTATTTATACTGGATACTATATTATACACTATATTATACTGGATTTATCCTAGAATTCTTAACTAAGTGCGGGCGGGGAAATCACTAGAAGCATTTGAGTGTAGGGCTGCACGATTAATCGAATGCGATTGTCATGCGCATTGTGGCCATATTGCTGTTATCAATAGATATATAGCGATATAGAAATTGTCTACCACACACTGATGACACAGGTAATTGATCTAACACAAAATATGTTTCTTTATGTACGTAATTATTGGAAATATTAAATATGAACATATATCTGGGTTTATTGCCAGAAATTGATTAGACTATACAATAAATACTGAATTACTATAAAAGCCTATTGCACTGTTGTATTAAAATTCACTGCATCATCTTGCTCAGAGTGACAGTATAAATGCTTGAAAATAAAGCTTAATGTCTTTAAATGAATCCATGTGCAGTGTTATTTCTGTGAATAAGTTGTGAAGTGTATATTTTATTTCCTGATGTCTGTTTATTGACCAACATTCATCTCAGTCTCTTAGAGATCTTGGAAAGAGTGACCATTAAAAAGTTACAGAACAGTTCAAATTCTATGGCTTTTTACTATAGCATGACAGTTTGCATAGGACATTTGTGTTGTAAGAATGTACAGGGAGACTTCAAATATAAAAAGGTGATTCATAGGTTTTCTGATTAAAATCAAAATATTTGCTATTGATTCAATTGAATGCGTGGGTGTATAGCAATGTGCAATCCAGTTCTCTATTACAGAGCAGAGGGTGTTACTAAACAAATCAGTGTTTTTGAATATTACTGACACCCTTATAAAGACAATCACTGTGTCCAAAACTGTACTGTCACCAAAGACTGGTTTATGATGAAACCTAAAGAGGGATACAATACATAAAATAGTTACATAAGTTAAATAATTTGTCAAAATAAAATAATCTACAATGTAAAACACACAGAAATGAAGAGATGACAACATCCATGATGTTGATCCATGAGCAAACACTCAACACACAAAAAGCACACAGTACACCATGTTCAACTTTGACTGTAATAATGTGGCATAATTGCAAAAAAAAAATGCTTTAGTGGCAAATTAATGTTATTTTAGTTTTTTTTTTAATGTTTGTCAGTAGATCTAAGCAATCTTCCACTAAAACACTGCACATTATCGTCTTTAAAATAAATTGTACATAAAACTGTAGGCTATATATAAATTATTACAAATTGAGGGAAATAAAAACAAGAATCCCTCTCAAAATGCTGTAGCTTGGAAAGAGTGACCATTAAAAAGTTACAGAACAGTTCAAATTCTATGGCTTTTTACTATAGCATGACAGTTTGCATAGGACATTTGTGTTGTAAGAATGTACAGGGAGACTTCAAATATAAAAAGGTGATTCATAGGTTTTCTGATTAAAATCAAAATATTTGCTATTGATTCAATTGAATGCGTGGGTGTATAGCAATGTGCAATCCAGTTCTCTATTACAGAGCAGAGGGTGTTACTAAACAAATCAGTGTTTTTGAATATTACTGACACCCTTATAAAGACAATCACTGTGTCCAAAACTGTACTGTCACCAAAGACTGGTTTATGATGAAACCTAAAGAGGGATACAATACATAAAATAGTTACATAAATTAAATAATTTGTCAAAATAAAATAATCTACCATGTAAAACACACAGAAATGAAGAGATGACAACATCCATGATGTTGATCCATGAGCAAACACTCAACACACAAAAAGCACACAGTACACCATGTTCAACTTTGACTGTAATAATGTGGCATAATTGCAAAAAAAAAATGCTTTAGTGGCAAATTAATGTTATTTTAGTTTTTTTTTTTTTATGTTTGTCAGTAGATCTAAGCAATCTTCCACTAAAACACTGCACATTATCGTCTTTAAAATAAATTGTACATAAAACTGTAGGCTATATATAAATTATTACAAATTGAGGGAAATAAAAACAAGAATCCCTCTCAAAATGCTGTAGCCGAGTGAGTGATATTATGTGATTGTTTTTTTTTTGTTACGAAATTACATTTAAGACCCAGAACATTGAGTGTACAGCGCCAAAATACACTTAAAAATACACACATTCAATCAAGGACTAGCACTACAACCAAAGAGTATCGAAGCCAATATAAGTTCTTTGCTATAACTTGGACTACAACTAAGTAGCAACACAAGCGCGCTGATCTTTCAATCAGATGCACGTGAACGCTAAATTTGTCACTATGGCAACAGCAGGGCGCAGGAACCGATTCAGTTTTAATATTAAACAGATGTGATGTTCAGCGTCATTAAGAGTTTTTTTTTAACTAAAGGAACTGTGTAAGTAATTCGCGCCCTGCTTGTAGTAGTTTGGATGTATATGTACTCTGATGCTGAGGTGATGTCGGCGATTGCATGGACAGAGAAAATGAGAAGCTAAGTCTTTGTAAAAACTGTCTCCTTGTCGTTACTAGTTAGCTTTAACTTATTACATTACATAATTCATTATTTGATATCAATATAGACTAAAAATCCTAATGTAAAATAACATTTTTTTATGAACTGTTTAGCTATTATATCAAGAAACGCAGAGAGCTAAATTGGAGGCTGCTATTTCCCCCCTTCCAATGTCGAAATCAAACATACGCCATTGTTTCTGTTTATTATTGACATTTATATTAACATTTAACTAATTGATTAATTTTGTTATTAGGCTATGTGAAATTTCTAAACGCACTTTCGGGAGGAATAAAACCATGTAGCCTAGTCTTTCATTTAACTCGTGTAAGCACCGAAATATATATATAAACATCCAGGTGTTGGTTTTAAATTGTCTTTAAAAAACACCTAGTTGAAATTCATACATTCAGTCGAGTTTAGTCAGAACAGCCTAATTACGGTTTAATTGTGATTTCAGGGTTTTTTGTTTTATTGAGTTATTGAGTCTACATTAAATTGCGATTAAACTATACAACGAAAACACAGAATGCATAATAATAATAAAAAAAAAAAAAAAAAAAAAAAAAAAAAAAAAAAAAAAAAA